CTTGATTTTACATCTGTAAACCCTCTTTGACGGAGCCGAGTTTTGCAGCTCCAAGAGAGAAAGATCAGTTGAGGGGCTCTACAACGCTTTACTATGAAGGTGGCACAGAGCGCCCGGAGTCAATTTCTAGACTTAATCTTCGGGTGATTTATGTCCCCAAAAGGCAACCCAGGATTCGGCCGTCTGAGTATCCAGGGCGCTAAGGGGACCCATTCAAGCCCAACAGGTTCATAACGCCGACCTGAATGTCGGCCTTTGGTCTCGTTGCCATCAACCTCTTTGAACCAAACTTGGACACGCTGTAAGGGAAAACGCAGGAACCCCTAGGCAAAATATTCAAACTGGCAAGCTACAGCACGTCCAACGTCCGCCCGCGAGCGCCTGACATCGATCTCGACGCATCGCTATGTTGCGCAGGGTGTCTCTCGTGCCCAGCACTAGCAATCTGCCTGAGAATAGAAAACCTCTTTTGGAACAAGTCAGTTGCAAGCGAACCAAAACAAAACTACCCGGGGTCCCTGTGCAGTAGGTTCGGCTAGAGGCTGCGGGGAATTCGCGTGGCTGGCTCAAAAGCATAAATCAATGCAACATCAACAGATTATGGCATCACCTTGGGGAAAGTGGGCCCAAAAACCTTGTCAGCACTGGCGCTTGGGCCGGCAGCGACAAGCGGGCAACTGGCACTGATGGGACACAAGCTGCCACTTCTCTCTACTAAAGTCATAACATGCCCACGCGACACGAAGTATTCTCTTGGGGTGAGTCCTTTTTAGAGGCCCCCCAAAAAGTTGGATTATCTGTTGGAATCCCTTAGGTACACTTTGCTAGCAACACTGCCAAAACAAGCAACAAGGCAGTGCTTCAACCTCCACTTCTTGCAGATCCAGTGACAGCCGCAAGCAACATTTGAATGTGCCCTGTTGAGGGTACCCTGTTTGAGGTGCTTTAAAGGGAATACCAAAGGCAACCCATTTTGGCTGGGTTCCATGACGCTATTGTCATCCGCGTAGCCGGCACGACCTCAGTGTAAAAAGCTTCTCCATCATTCGCCTGGGTTCAACATGGGTGGAGTCATATAATATAGTTGAACCGAAATCCGTAGTCGGGAACCACTGCCACAGGCAACCAGTACCGTCCACATAAGGACTTGTTAAATTGAGTTTAAACAACCTTGAAAGGATGCAACGCGTGCTGCTGAAAACAAATCGACTGTGCTTCCAACACCGCAACACATTCTGTGGGTGTGGGGCTCAACAGTCGTCCCAGACTCATCTCTTGAAGTGAGCCGGCCAAAATAATGGCATGACGACGACGGCCTCTTTGCCAAGCACAACACAAAGCACACAGTGCTCTACCAGAACAGGGACTGGCTCAAGAACAAGCTTGGCACATCGGGTACGCATCCGTCAGCACAACTCGCACATGGAGCAAATGGCTGAGAACAGTAATTACTTAGATGGTCCCCAAGTTGGATAGAAGCTTCCTAACCGCAGTTGAGGCCCAGTTAACCCCTAGTTAACCCACCTGTAAACCCTTGTATCTAGGTCTGCAAACTCCTGGTATCTAGGGGTCCCGCAATTCCCCTGAAATCAAACATTGGACCGAACAGTAGATTTTAACTTCCTCGGGACAGGGAGGTGAGGAGGATATGCCGCGAGATTCTTATTCAGGTTGGCAGTACGTGTAGAAGCGGACTTGAAAGAGGTTAAATGGAAGCAAATACGTCTGTGTCTTCCCCATCCGCACAACAAGTCACAGTCTGGGAAACGCTTGTCAACATAGTTTCCCGTGCGACGCCTTACACCGCCCCATCTCCAATTTCCCGATGGGGTGCGAATCCACACCGCGCCTGGTAGTCAATGCCTGGAGAGAAGCAACATCGCAGCGAAGGAAGCTGATGAAATGCTGATCATTCAAATATTCCCAGCACTGTGCCAGAAGCCTACTCTCGGTTGCTTTCTGCTCCTTTGCTAAAAGTTTGACTTTTAGTGGTTTAATGGAAAACCCATTGGTTGGCAAAAAGTTAAAGTCCTAACATCCAAGGAAAATGCACTAAAGTACTCATCGCTGGTCGCCAATTCTCAAGACATGAATCCGTGCCAACCAACCTGACATAGTGCATGGCAGTGGTCTCCTTAATAGTCACAAATGTTTCATTGATGTTTAATTAGAGGAAGCTAACCGTGGAGTTTTGAGGGACGGCCAGTAAACGCCCCCTTGTTCAACCCATAGGAAACCATCGCTGGTAGTTCAGCGAAGCCAAGCAAAAAAAGAAAAGAAATATTTCCAGTAGTGATAGATAGCCTTGAAAACCAGAAGGGGAAAGAAACAAATATTCTGAAACGCAAATGGAAGCTAAGTGAACCTTTGGATCCGGTTGCGGTTTGGCGGTCCTCGCTTGGTGAAGCTCTGTGCCAGCAACGTCAAGTTCACGTTGAAGACCGCGCTGAAGGCCTCGAAGATCGATGTGCTGGGGCGATTCACCATGCGCGTCTTTCGCCTTATTTCTTATTCGTTGGGTCGAATCAAACTCAGGGTTCCGTAGGATACATTTATCTTAATGACTTAATGATCAAACAAAACCCTTCCTCAGGTGACTGTTGACTGGCCTAAAAGTATCCGCTAAGAGACTTCACTGGAGAAGGTTGAATGAACCTCGGCTCTTGCCCCTCAAACCAGCCGTGCTTTGTGTTTCTGCCTGCTCCATGTGTAGTGAACCGAAACAAGTTCAAGCACACAAGACACCTCAGTACAGACCCCGGTCAATTTGGCTTAGGCAAGGCAGCTAACTGCAAAAATAGATGATCAAGACATCAGTTTGGTTCCCAGGGACGAATGCTTCACTTGCAGGGAGAGCTTCTCTGGCATCAAAGCGGGGGACAACAACCATGTTCCCACATCCCTGTAGGAGGTCATTGGATTTCCTTCGTCAAGAGCTACAACTTTCTGGAAACTCCCGTAAACGCGCCACCTCTGGACGTCCGACAAGGGCAAATGGAAGGGCATGCAGTATGCTTCAGCATCTCAGTGTCCCGGCGTTCACAACGGAGATGGTGTTCCCCGCGTGCGCCTCACCAAAAGAGACTGTCTCTGCCGCAGAGCCCTGCATGACCAAAAAAAACGAAACCCCTGTGCTACCAGGGCCTAAACAATCAAAATAGGGTACTTAGGGTCCTTCAAGAGGAATGTTGAAATTATGCAGCCCATGGCCGGATTTCCTTTGATCACCCTCGAAAACCTACCTAAAACTTGAAGGGGGCACTGCCTATTGAAAGAAACACCCCACCACGTCACCGATGTTCTCCTACTCAGTCAATGATGCATTCCTCATACAGTAGGTGAAACACAATTGTTGTTGTTTGTTTCGACCAGGAGCACACCACAGCTGTACCTCTGCTGAATGGACACGTGTGGACCTGGGAAAAGGATCCCCTAATTGTGGCCACATCTATCAAGGGTTCCAACAGTGTACATTCCGGACAGCTAAGATGGACATCTTGTGTGGACCCATCAAGAATTTCCCTTGTCGCTCTAATTGAGGGCCCACACTAAGCTCTGCTTGGATGTAAATCAACAGTGTGGATACTTCAGGCCTCCAATGCTGGTAGTTGGCCTAGTCAACTGCAGGAGACATACGCAACTTGCGTGCGTGTTCAATATAGAGAATCACCAAAGTCTATAATGGTTGCCAGACATGAAAAGGGAAGGGCATCTGATGAACATTGGGGAAGAACACCCTGTCCTCAATGTAGCCTCCCAGCAACAAACATTGAGGCGCACAAACTCCTGTTTCATATTCGACGACTACCTTCCTTTAAACAAAGGGATTCGGCGATTCCTGTGGGCAATCAGTGTTACCTTACCAGAGTATTGCTCTGGTTTTACCCCCAGCCCCCCCCTACACACACACACACAGGTGATGCAGACGTGTGCGCGCGAGCGCGTGTGGGTGTGTGTGCGCATTGACTCTTTCTGCCGCGCCCCTTTGGTGCAACTCTGCCATATGTCGGGCCAGTCTCCACTCGGCGGCGACCGGCAAATGGGAAGCAGCCAGTTCAGCTGGGTGGTAAATACGGGTCTGAAAACTCACAAACTACACGTCTTGCCGTGGTTACAGCAAATTGAAGACTGGATGTTCAACACCCACTAAACTGGTTGACAGCTGTTGGAGCCTTTTTGATCACGCATTGTTCACAAAAAGGTCCTAATGTCAAGGAACAAGTGTCTAATGCCAGGAACAATTCTAGCAGGGCTCCAAATAGCACCTGAAACACACACAAAAAATACCGAGCCCAGCTCCGCCCCAGGGAGTTGACACACAGCCAAAAACCAGACTTGACCGAGCCCGAACCCATTGCTGAGGCCAGGCCTCTCAGATGCTTCTACAAAAACTGTAGAAGCATCAAAGGGCACCCTGGCCCAACAGTATCAGGGCCGGGCACGCAGGTCTTTGGGTCTTTGCGTCTGGCAGACAAGTCGAAACTTTGGAACTTTCTGCCGGCCGAAAGCATATCCAGCCAGCGAATTCAATCGCTGCACCCCGGCTGCACAAATCACCCCGCCCCCCATACAGGGAAACATGGCTTTTATTGCTAGAGAGAGGTTCATGTGGACATTGCCCGAACTGCGCCATGAAGTTCGGGCAGGCAGAAACTCAAATTAAAATCCAACCCTTAGAGCTCGCCATACTTGCAAACAAGTAGATACCCCGTGGGCCTGATTTTTTGATGTACGCCCCAAGGACAGCAACTTGGCAGATTCCCCATGTGGTTTGGCCATCTCTTAGAGGCTTGGTTGGCTCACATCTAAGGTACCGAAAAATCCATGCTCGGGTTCTGTCGGCAAAAAAAAAAACATAGGGCCATGGGTCAAAAGCCTGTACCCCCAGTGAACACCCCAATCCCAACTAAAATAGACTAAAATGGATGGTGCACCTACCCCAAAATGGTACCATTGGCTTTGACCCACAGCCATATGTTTGAAGGAGAACTCAGCTGACCCTAAGCTTCAGACTGAAACAAGCCCAGGGCTTGCTGCCACTGGCTCGCCCGCTCGCAAGCTCTTGCTACCGTCTTGTAGCAGATGTCATTGGGACGGACCGAGCACCTTGGCACTGGTCCAACCAGCAAAACGTGTCTGTTGTCATGTTGCTGCTTAAACAAAGGGAAATCAAACAGGAGGGAAGAAAACACAAAAGACACTAACAAACGATAATAACCCAAATGAAACCATATCACAATGAAGCAGACACAAAAGAAAGAAACCATACACTGAAACATAGCCCAAAAGGGCAAATCGCTAAAAGGGCAAAACACTAAGTCTGGCGATGGGACTGAGGCATTGAGCGGAAGAGGCCCAATGCCTGCTCCCACTCTCCGCCCTTGTCACAGGCACTGATCACCGCGCTGTAGCCTCACAGACTCACAAACGTTTGCAGCGCCCGAAACCCATTGATAGTTGGATATATGGCCATGGGTCAAAATCCTGTGTCCCCAGTGAACATCCCAATCCCCACAAAATTAGACTAAAATTGGTGGTGCACCTACCCCAAAATGGTACCATTGGTTTTGACCCACAGCCATATACCAACATGGTCTCAAAGGTGTGTGTGTGTGTGTGTGTGTGTGTGTGTGTGTGTGTGTGTGTGTGTGTGTGTGTGTGTGTGTGTGTGTGTGTGTGTGTGTGTGTGTGTGTGTGTGTGTGTGTGTGTGTGTGTGTGTGTGTGTGTGTGTGTGTGTGTGTGTGTGTGTGTGTGTGTGTGTGTGTGTGTGTGTGTGTGTGTGTGTGTGTGTGTTTGTGTTGTGTTTGTGTTCGTGTTCGTGTTTGTGTTTGTGTGTGTTTGTGTTTGGGTTTGTGTGGCCTCTGCTCCAACTCCAGTGTAACAGGTGCAAAGGTGATCGCTCTTTTGGCGGCCTTATCATCAAGATATGATCTGTGGTGCTTCCCGGCGCAACCCCCAAACGAGAAAATCAAGAGGACACCCCCTCCGGTTGCAGTAAACCTTCTGGCAGCCATGATTTGAAAAGAAAGCATTGGCAAACCAAGGGCTCGGCTTCTTGCAAGCACGTCGCAGTTCCACCCTAAACAAACGATTCAAATATTGCTCTGCCACACATACCCTCTCTGCAACAAACTGGATTTGCACAAACCCGCTTGGAAGACTATGTTCCCTTTGGAAAGGCGTTCTGTGCACTGTGCACATCCATGTTTGTTGGATGGGGGGTTTTAAGATGATAACATTACCAAACGTTGATCGAACTATGTTTGCTATTGCTTACGGCCAATTTCATTGTTTGCAGATTTAGCATCAGCCCCAATAGTAAGGGTATGGGCCAAGATTCAACCACCAGGGGACCGCGGGTTTTAGTCCATCTTTCCATTTACCAGGGCAAGCAATTTGGGGTCACCCGATTTTTGACCCACACCCAGTTCAGCAGAGTAGCTGATGAAGTTCGGGTGCACCAACGCGTGCTGCATGGCCCAAAACACCTTCAGCGCCTGGTGCCACCGGTGGCCTTTCTCACAGGCGCTGATGGTTGCCTCTGCGAAACGTATGGGCGGGGGAACCAGTACACCCAATTCGCAGTGCTCAAGACCCGTTGACTTTTTGGTTCTCCAAGATTGTTTTAAGGGTTTATTACAGGCTATGCTAGCGTAGTTCAAACAGGTAGTACAGCCACCTGCTAACATGGCCAATATGCTGCTTGGGCGCTGCTCATATGAAGTCCATGATCATAGCAGAACATGATGTGCGTGTGTGTGTATAATCATTGAGCCCTATATTTTCTTACGTTTGTGCAGAAACCAGTTGCATCAAAACACATTCCAATTTGAGGGGCTTGTATAACCTGGGCTGAATGACAAATCCCATAAGACCCCCCCTAAACGGTCTTATAGAGCCTGCGTCCGCACCAAAGCCATGTTGCATTGTAGCAAATCCTGTCTGACCAAAGCTTCGCCTGGGACATGGTCGAGAAGAGCCCCAAGGCGTGCCGCCACTGCCCGTCCTTCTCGCAGGCACTGATGGCGGCACTGAAGCTGATGGTATCGGCCCGAATCTGCTCCTGGGTCATTGAGCTGAAAAGATCCAAAGCGCGTTGCCACTGGTGATTTTTTCCGCAGGTGCTGATGGCTGCATTGTAGCTTATGGTGTCGGGCTGCACTGTCTCCAACGGCATGGAGCGAAACAGGCCGAGTGCCTGCTTCAACTGGCTTCCTTTTTCGCAGGCGCTGATGGATGCATTGTAGCTTATCTTATCTGGGTGCAGCCTCGCTTGAGGCATCGCAAAAAAGAGGCCCAACGCATGCTGCCACTGGCCGGCCTTTTCACAGGCACTGATGGCTGCACCAAAGCTGATCTTATTTGGATAAACCCTGGCCATCGGCATGGCCCAAAACAGGTCCAGCGCTTGCCTCCAGCGCCCTCCCTTTTCGCAGGCACTGATGGTTGCGTTGTAACTGATCCTGTCGGCATGAATCCTTGAAAGCGACATGGCATAGAACAAGCCCGAAGCATGCTCCCACTGCCCGGCCTTTTCGCAGGCGCTGATGGTCGCATTGCAGCTGATCGTCTCTGTCTGCACCTTTGACAAGGGCATGGCATGGAACAAGCCCAGCGCCTGTTGCCATTGCGAGCCCTTCTCGCAGGCAGTGATAGTTGCAGCAAAGTGAAATATGTTGGGAGAAACCCCAGCTCCAGCCATAGACGTCAGAAGGAAGCAAGCATCCTGCCAATTGCTTTGCTTCGCACAGGCGGCCATCCCAGCCGTGTAGTCACGGGCATCCAACTGTAGCTCGCCTAACTGGGGGGATCCGGTTGCCACAGCCTTTCGCACTTGCTTTTTCGCGCTTCATGTTGACCCGGGGGGAAGAAAGGGCTGGGCGAAAGCGCTAATTAGCCGAGCTTGTCTCCAAATGGGGGAGCCACCAAAATAGCTTCTTCGCGTTGGTTCCCTTCAGCCACAAACGGTCCAGGGGGGTGGAAGCGGTAAATTGGAAAAACACAAATGATCTACCACTTTGGCTCCATCTATAAACGCCTGAACGACCAGAATGGGGGTTGCGGGCTACTTTAAACCAAAGCCGTGATCACATTTTAAAGGTGATGTTTCAACTGCAGCTATATTCTTGGGGCCCTGCGAAACTGAACTCAACTCCAGTTTAGAGCCCCTCACGGAAAAAGGGCACCTTTGGATTGTTTCCCCATTTTAGTGGGAAACTAACAAACAGTGATCTAGAGGGTGGTTTGGATCCGGGTTCGCCTTGGATCCAGATCCCGCCCAATCCACAGCAGGAAGAGCTTGAACAAACACGCATGTCTCTTAATTAGAATCCACATACCAGGGAATACCTGAAACCGCCAGTCGAGCTGAGCCTCTTTGCTTGATAGCTTCCAGCGCGAGCACCACATCCCCGCGTGCCGCCGACCTGATCAGGATCTGCCTCAGGGCCCCAAAAACATTGATCGAGACGTCACCTGACCCCGATCAGTGCGTCTTGGTTGAAATTGCCTCCAGAAAACCGTTCTCTCGTTGCCCCAAAACGGTACCAGGGTATGGACTAATTGGAGAAACCCCCGAATTGCTGAAGTTGGCCAGAAAACGTCAATGCTGAAACCTGCCACGAGGTTATTATCGCTTGGCCGCTGAACAGACTCACTTGACATTGACAAACAGGTGATGAGTGAAACCACCCAACAGGGACATACGTTCAGCAGCCTGCCTGACATCTCCGATGTTTCGTAGTGCCTCCAACACGGCCTGCGCCGCCTGCTTCGACGGGAATCGACCCAGTTCGCACAGCGACTCCATGGAGCTCAAAAAATGGTCTGGGCCTAAATGACCTGCGGCGAACTGCAACTTTTTGGCTCGTCTCATGGCTTCAGCCTACCACGGGTGTTTTTGTTCTTCGAACCCCGAAAAGGGCAGCTGCAGAAAGGGCTGCAGCTGGAAACATACCCCACTACAAAACGTTCCAACATGGTTTGGGCATAAATCCCCGTGTGAATGTTTTAAGAGACGATGTGGCACAACATGTCGGTCAGGATTTCGCAGGCACTCTGCATACATGGAACCACTCAACTCCACGTTGCGCAAGAAATATCGAACATCTATGCAGCTCGACAGGTGCTTGCACAATTCCGAGCCGTTGACCCGTCCACCCGAGTGTCCTGCAAAAAACCAAGAAAACAAAAAAACGCGTGGATATTGCAAACATGGTGATTTCTTGGGTGCGACCCCTGAAGAGGTGACCATAAAACCAGGACTCCCAGAGGGGCCACTTTTGAACAATTCCCCGAGGTAGGCGGAAGAGTTGCCGTTAAGTCCTGAGCCCCTGACACACATCTTACTAAACCAAAGAGTCATGCGATTCTGCTCACAAGCTGTTGATATGGATAATGTGGGCAAGTGCTGACCCCGGTCATATTGTTCCTCCTTGAACCCGTCAATCTTATGTGCGCTAGTGTAGAGTGCTTCCACTAATGAAGGACTCTGCGTAAGTGAGCCTTCCGGGGCAAGAAAGGTGAACTACCACTTGAAGTGGTGCCCTGGTCTAGCACTTCCCCCCAAAAAAAGAAAGCAATTAAGCAAGACGGCAAAAGAAATGAAAGAACCATATTTCAAAAAAAATAGGAGCGAGAGTCGTTTTGGGTGGGTGCCTGCCGAAGCATCCTCACCAAGTTCCCCACAAAGTTTCTTCGGCAAAAGCCACGAATCACCGACCAGCAATTGCACATCTGGTGGCATCTCAAACCGTTTCACAAGGCAAAAATACGTGACTTGGGTCCGATCTCCATGGGTAGCACAGCCATGGTAGAAACATTGGGGTTGCCTCTTGACCCAAACAAAAAGCAAAATCACCTGGTGCATGAGCCCCATTTTGGAAGGTGCCCTTATCCTGAACCCCGCCGGAGAGAATCGGCCAACAAATCGAAACCCATCCAAACTCCGCCCGAGAAGGTACAAACCGTCCGACCCAAAGGCCGCATGAGCCATGGCTTCGGACTCTGAGGCGAGCCGAGGCCCCGGCGGTACAGTCCCCCAGCTGCGCGCAAATGTTGGCGCGGTGCCGAGTCATCGAATGGTACCTTCGGCGGGAAGGCCGGGAGCCCGAATGCTTGCAAAATCGGCGGGCGAAAACACACGCATGCAATGGGACATGGGGTATGTGGAAAAAAATGGTGTTGAGAACTGGGAGCACAGGCGGATTTTGTGGAAATCCACGGGTTTCTCATAGATCCAGCCCGCTGGGGTACTGCTCTCCCACCCAGTCCGCACGCTCCTACTTCACAGTCCATCTTGCGAGCCCTCACGAAATGAGCCAGGAATCCGCGTGTTGATTTACAAATAGAAAGGTACATGTAAATATATACATATATACAAATAACTATACACACATAATATGTCATAATGGAGGCATGTGCAAAGTTGATCCATGGAACCTGTTGCCAAACGCCTTCCCAGTACCTCGTGTACAACTCCTCGGCTTGCCAAGCGGGCCTATGAACAAGTGGCACTGCAAGACCCTGCCAAGGGTCAGGCCCAATCCGCTGAGAATGCCACATATGGATGAGCAGTGCTTCTGAAAAAGGCTTGAATGTAAGCACAATCAGGTTGCAAGAGAGCACACCTTTCTTCTGCAGACATTTAAACGATAGTCTGCGGCACAAGCAGGCAACTCTTGCTATAGGGGCACGTGGTCAGGTGCACAATCTTGTGCGCATTCGTGGCGATGGCACCGAAGGAAGCAATGCCGCCTGCGTTTGCAACACCCAGTGTGCTGTACAAACAATCGCCCTTGTTGTGCCCGAGTACCTGGCAAGACTACTGTGCACAAAGGAACAACACGCTGCACGCTGAACAAAATAAGTCAGTAAATAGCAAACATAACGAACAAAATGACAACTAGGCAGAAATACAGAAAGAAAGAAAGAAAGAAAGAAAGAAAGAAAGAAAGAAAGAAAGAAAGAAAGAAAGAAAGAAAGAAAGAAATAAAGAAAAACAGAAAGAAGGAAAATAAAGAAAAGAAAGAAAGCAAGAAAGCAAGAAAGAAAGAAAGCAAGAAAGCGAGAAAGCGAGAAAGCGAGAAAGCAAGAAAGAAAGAAAGAAAGAAAGAAAGAAGGAAAGAAATAAAGAAAGAAAGAGAGAAAGAAAGAAAGAAAGAACAAACATCATAAAGAGATAAATTCATGATGAACTGGACCATATTCAATAAATACATACATTGAACCAATACAGAAAGACATACCGAATAACAAGATAAGACATACAGAAAGCAGGAAAGAAAGAAAGAAAGACAGAAATAAATTTAAAAAAAGAAAGAAAGAAAGAAAGAAAGAAATAAAGAAATAAAGAAAGGAAGGAAGGAATAACAACAATAAGAAAGGAATAAATAACATAAGAACACACAAAATACATGAGGAATGAACCAATGCTCGCATTAAAAAAAGAAATATATGCATACATAATCCAATAAACAAAGTGCAACATAAGTTAGTACACAAGTAAACTCAACAATAAGAAGAACCAACAAGCGATAAATTATCTACAGTAGATGAAGACAGCAAGATGGACAGGCAAAGAGAGAGAAAGAGAGGAACAATAAAACAAAAAGACGACACACACAGATTGAACAAGAAAGGCTGTGCTTCAGAACTCGGATAGCTCCTTCTGCTTCATTTTTGGGTTTCCCTCTGAGCATCTTGGCCCTGCGCATCTCGCCTCACAGAAACCCTGGGCTTCTTCCATCTGGGGGGTTGCATGGGATGACCCGGAGGGAGCAATTTGAGTTGTTTGTTCTGTTTGCCCGCATCGGATTTTTCGGAAGGCTTGGGAACTCCCATTAATGGTTGCCTTCGATGTCGGAGGCCCCACGCTTGTGGTTCAGCGAGCCCAACCTCCCTCTGAGAAAGAAAAAGATGGTTGGGTTCCCTGTGGACTACAAAAGAAACGAACTCCTTGGGCAAGGCGTAGGGAAACGGATAGGAAACCACCTCCAAATTGGTCTATCCTTTTTGTCGAGGATAGCCCATTGGACTTGATTTCAGAGGAAAGCCCCTCTCCCACACGCGCCGAGGACCTCCCCAAATGTGTATAACGGGACCCTCTTGGTTCGGGATGATGTTCCAAGCCCAATATGCTTTTAGGTCGTGGCGATCTAACTTGAAGCATTTGGCAGAATTTGGTGCCGCTTAGACAACCCACTTGCTTTACAAGACCTGAAATAAGCGAACCCGGATGAAGGGTCCCTTACTTCCTGCGGAATATACCATAGTTCTTCTCTTTGACCTCGTTGGCACGCTTTGGCTCGTTGGTCGCCCCTACCCGATTATTAATCAAGTGGGGGGCTATCCCAAGTGGCTCCTTTTCTTGTTGGGGCAGCGAATGAGGGGATGACCCTCAGTGAGCATCCCTAGAGTTTCCTTCAAAGGGATGCCTGGGTTTTTTTCCAAAACCCAGTTGATTTCCCTTACCAACAGGCTTCACCTTTTGTAGGTTTGGAAGGGTCCAAAAACGGGGGCAAACTTTGGAGTGGCAAATACGTAGACCAGAGCTGAGAAGCAAGCCTTTGCGGGCAAGCCGTTTCGCGACAAACTTGCTGTCCACAACCTGAAAGTAAGTGGGTGCGTCTTTTTTGAGGTTGGAACCCCCAGAAGCTTTTGGGCTTTGGCTCTTTTGACATTTCCCTTCAAACACCACGCAAAAGGGTGAATGTTGACCCTATATGAATCAACCCCAGAAAAAATGATAGGGGGGGTGCTTCTCCCCGTGAAATTTGGGGAATCAACCACTTTTGGAGGGGCCAAAACCCCCAATAATTATATATATATAATATATTGATAACAGGGGTTGATTCATGTCTTACGGGATAATCCCCACGACGCCTAGTTCGAGCATTGGCCGCGTCTAGCCTCGGAGCTCGCAACTCACAAAGACGAGCCCAGGTGCGCGCCTTGGAAGCCGGTGCCGCTCACCGAGCTCGCAGCCAGGATGGCCAGGCCCGAGGAGCCTCGATCCCCACGCGAGGCTGCGGGTTCCAGTGGCGGTTTCGTCTGCTTTCCGGGAGACATGCGAAAAATATGTCCTCAATTGGAGGGCAAATGCTTAGTCTATTCTTCCATTGGCGTTTTGGCCCCCTTGGAAAACTGCAAATATGTCCTGTAGTGATAGATGTCCTCAACAAACATCAACAGGGGGAAATAATGATCATTCTATTCTTAAGCACACGGAAGAAAGGAACGCTGCGAGCGAAGCAAAACATGGGGAAACCAATGGGAAAACGAAACAAAAAGAAGCAAGAATGAAGCATGGAAGCACGGGATGCTACCAGCAAAAAGGACACCGAAAGCAAGCTATAGGAAACAAAGCGGAATCCATAAGAGAAGCGCATGAAGACCGGAAGGAAGCTAGCACAACACAACATAGAAACTCATACGACGCCAACTGAGTAAGTCACAAGAAAAGCAACAAGACAACCAACAAACACACCAACCATGAACTACAAGGAAGCCAATCTGAGACAAACAAAACATAACAAAACTAAAGAAGGCTAAAAGGAAACCAAAAGTCGATACAGCAAGCCAAGAGCAAAAAATACGGAAACCTGTGGGTGTAATGGCGGCGCTACGCCGCTGAGAACACCCGACCCTCAGCACGGCAGTGCGAGGCTCTTTTCAGGATCGCTGCAGAAAGGGTGACAACAAGGGTCAGACAATCACCTGCACCCATGCACCCAATGCAACCATGTGAGCTTTCTTGGATAAGAAGCTACCGTGCAGTATAACAGTCCTTGTCGTGATGAGATCTCCCCAGTGACCATTCCACGCGGCTGGCCGCTTGAAATGACTGTGACCATGGCCAAACCACCAATTCTAGAGGAATCTCCTTTTGGGCCAGGAAGATTAGAAACCTATACTAACGCCCAGTCCAATTGCAAGGGGCAAGTCTAGCTTCATTGTTCTGCAAGTTTAAGTGTTCCTCCCCTCACCCAAGTGGCAGGTAGGGAAACAAACACCAAACCCCAGAAACACGCAAAACAGGGGGGCTCACCAAGAGGTGTTCCCATTGATTTCCCCTTAAAACCGCCCAACAACTAGTTCCCTCAACAAATCCATACACCCATCTTGCTGGTGCTCAGGGAATGAGGGAATGATTCTGACCATAACTGGTTTCCTAGGGGAGCCCCGAGGTTCATTCGTTCATTCCATGTCTCATTCCGTACTCGCACCATCCGTGTCCCGCTCGCATGTCGAATGCGTGAGCCTTCGAAGCCCCAGGTCAACATCGTCATCACGATCACCACCTTGGCGCGCGTCGCTTTAACGATCCTTACAATGGATCCACATTGCAACTTGTAAATGGGGTCCAACTTGATTTTGGTAGAAAAAGCCACATGCTTCAAATGGGCAAAATGGAGATCTTTTAAGGAGCCCTGTTTAAAGGGGCAGGGCACTTAGTAAGTGGTTTGCAACGGTCAGTAAGCCCAGATATAACCCACAAAAGCCATAGTTGCAAGTCTCTGTTCAGTGGGGTATAACCAGGCTTCCTAACCGCTTACTAAGTACTCCGCCCCTTTAAGTGGTGACCATGCGAAGATTGAGCCAACAAATTATCAAATACGCGTTCAGACCAAATCATGCCAGCCTACGTGACAGAAGAGTCGGAGTTGCTCACTTGATGAACACATAAGTTCTAATACATTATGCCTATGGAGAGCCGGCGCCACGCAGGAGTATCTGATTGGAAGCACGGAAGCGCTCGCGCATCGCCGACCGCCCCTGCCCCCTTCCTTCCCCCCCCCCCCCCTATTTGGGCTCCCTCACCCCTCCCCCTCCCTCCCCAGCCCCCATGATACTTACCAGGACTTCTGGCTGTTGCCAGGCTTCCACCTGACTTTGTGGGCCTAAGACTCAAGGAGAACAACCAGCATGGCAGAAGGGTGTGACGAGTAGACGAGTAACGTTGACCCCAGATTCATCAACCCCAGTTTATTCATCTGGGGGTGGTGTTTGGCCCCTCCAAAGGTGGTCTGATTCCCCACACTTCACCCAAAAAGAAACAACCCCCCTATGAACCAACTGGGGTTTAACTTCATCTGTCAACGTTTCACCGGAAACTGCGGGTCTGTGAGGCCGAGGCTCCGGCGCTTTGCTCACGAATGCTGAAACCAACTGAACCGCTTCCCCCTCGCTGGGTTTTCGAGCCCAAGCTGTTTCTGGACAACAACGGCAAAAATGGTTGTTGCAAAAACCAAGCATTCAGCCCCTTTGGTTGAAGAGTGCGGCCGGTTTGGATAACAGTTGAATTATCTTGGCATGAAGCAGCTAGAAGTTACGCATCTGTTTTGGCACCTTCTCCCCTTCCATCTGTTTGAGAGATCGTCAAGCCTCCGAAAGCGGTTCCGACCAAGTTCCCCTTGGGCTTCCGCGCCACCGCGGGGAAGAGGGTGGACATGAAGCCCTGGCCCAGGCCCTGCAAGACCACCTGGCCCAGGGAAGAAATGGAACCGCTCGTTGGGAGCATCTCCTGGACCCTTCCTTGTGTTCCATGTCCCCATTTGCTTAAGCCCAGGAGAAAAATGGAAATACGGCCAGTAGTGACAGACATATCCTTTCAAACCAACCGGAGAAAATACAGCATACATCTCAAGCAAATGGAAGACGTCAATCTGGGCAATCTGGGGCCTCATCTCACAGACCTTTTTCTAGAGCCCGCGATAAGCCCGCAATCAAAGCTGGCGGGAATGATCAACCCTGAGTCCTGAATTTGTGCCAGCTGATTCTCAAGACACAGCAAACCAGGTGATGCATCACGTGGACCTCCATGAGCAATTCATTGCAGAACCGCTGTTCAAGTTCAAGGCTTGGCTTTGCAAAATGGTAAATATATGTTCAAATTCCTGATCCGAACTGAGCAGTCTGCACCGCCACGTTCGACATGGGCTGGACGCATTTCCCTGAGAATGTCGAGCACCTCATTTTCTTGGTAATCATTCTGTGTGTACCCCTCAGCACAAGCACATTGGAACCTCTCCTCACGAGACCTGCAGGAACCATGGGCCAGCCCATGCCTGCACCACACCGAGGTGGGCATTTTGCGCGAGCGTCCTGGAAGTCGAAAGCCGAAACCGCTGTGATTCTTAAAGACCTAGGTAGTACTCCAGCAGTTCTGCCCAAGCCTAAGGAATCGCAAGGGTGAAGGATGGGGCCCAGTGGGGAGCCCACGAAACAAAAAGTTGAAACATCTGGGCAAACATGGGATGTGTCCAACTGGCGGATTCTCCGACATAGACGGCTTTGGACATCCCCTTCCTCACTGGCCAGTACTCGATGGTTGTGAAAAACTCCGCGGACACGACGCAGATCTCTGGCGCCACCTGCCCTGCGAGGGATTCGTGCAAGTGCTTTCGCCGGAAATTCGTCCGGAGAACCGCACTAAAGGCTGGCTCTTTGCTAGCAGGGAATCTCTTCAGTCTTGCTGTTTGTGTTTGGGCAGGGGTCCTCTAATTGGTACCGCGTGAGTGGGAGGTTGACATTAAGCATCCAATGAGGTTTGCAATCCAATGAGGCTCCCACTAGGTGTCCAAAGCATGTCAGCCTCAGCTTCTGCGCAGCAACCACAAACACGATGTTTGATTCTGGTCCGAATTTACTGAACTTCAACATGTCATTTTGAAACAAATTCCAAATGTATTCCCAACCTGTGTTTTGTCGCTGCCGCTTGTGACGGTCCGGGCCCCCAATGACTGCTGTTTCCCGTGTCCGAAAACACAAGTCTTGTCCACACAAAGTCCCTTTCCGGGTTGATGGGGAAAAAACAAATGTTGGGTGCATCGGGAAAACTAAACCCTTCTGTCAAACTTAGGGATGACATGGGATGACCACAACCACAACACAAATATTGCGTGCTGCACTCCACACACAATTTGCTTGTTGGCAACTACATCTTGAAAAAATGCCACTGGAATGCCGGGAGGAAGGCTTGGGTGAATTGCAAGCTTCAGAATCGCCAACACATGCAGTCCATGGGAGACACGGAAGCAAGAACTGGTACAAGTTGTGTCAACGCTGGGGCGATTCTGTCTCAACGGCCAGCCTGTCTGTGCACTTGTATCTGGGCTGAAAGGCTGTATGATTCGCCAACCTCAAGTCAGGGCTTCCCAAGAAAGGACACTTCATCACTGGCCGGCAAAAACAAATCCTTTGCGTCCATCAGTTTTTGCCTGGAGAGATCTGCTCCGGAGCATCCCACGAGTCAGGCCGGCAGGTCACCGCCGTCCAAAGCAGGCAAAGAGAGCGGTGAACAGCTTGCAATGGAGGCGAAAAGCTGCGAATTATAACGAGTCTCACGAGATAACAGGCCCACCTGAGGGATGCTAAGGCAACAACGTGATAAACCTTTTTACCTCCAGTCGGAAGAGAAACCCAGACGCTTGGCTTTCGACCGCCAACTCCCAGCGAGGGTGACCTGGTCGCCTCGGGACCCGACAGGCACCCAAATCCAGTGAGCCAATTAGGCCGTGGAACTGCTCCCCAGCTACCTGGAGTTACCGGTAGCCATGCTCGAGAAAGAACATGGCTGTGGGTCAAAAATAGGGTAACCCCAAAATGGAACCCTGGCAAGTGGAAACATGGACCAACATCTGTGGTCGTCTGTTGGTTTAATTTTGACCCACACCCACATAATGTTGACCCCATATTGATCAACTCCAGTGTATTAGTAGGGGGGTGTCCGTGAGTTTAGTGGAAAGTCATCACTTTTGGAGGGGAACACCCCCAATTAATAAACAGGAGTTGACTAATGTGGGGTCAACGTTAGCAAACTCTGGAAATGAATTCGAGCAAACTATTCCCAACAGAAGGAACTATGTTGCAACCCCAACCCCCAATACAGGAAACCAACCCCTGGTCACCCTAACACATGCCTGGATTTGAGGATGAGACGCACGACCGTGTCACGCAAGAGTCTCCATCCAGCAGAAGAGCAATGCTCCTATTTTCAAGAGCCCCGAACAGACTCGGCGTTCTGGTTCTCAGTAGAAATATATACGAGAATTATATATATATATGGGTATGTGTTTTTTTGACGTGGCCGTGCCGGGAGGTTGGTATAAGGGGTATGAATCGCAGGTATGGTTCGGGGGCATGATTCGGGGTATGGCTCGCGCGCCTCTGAACTCTTGCTTTGTGGCTTTGGACACTGCAAAGCTCCCGTGCGCTGGCAACTGGATAGCCGTGAGATTTGGGCCGCTTAGTTGCTACAAGCCAGCCTGGGGCGCTTGCGAGTGGCCTGAACTAGACAGCTGCCACTCTGCAGCGAAGCTGCTGCGCTAGCAGAGCCACTGCCTGAGGCGAACGTCATGGCCACCTCCACTTGGAGTTCAAGCGACCCGCGCGCTCACAGACCCAAGCAAGCGTTGCTTAAGGGGAAGCGTGCCCAGTCAGGCCCGCCACGAACCAGCGTAAGGGCAAGACAGCGTGACATCCTCAAACGGCAGCCGCGCAGAGGCTAGTGGGCCTCTCACAGGTGGTGTACCGTGTCGCGCTTGATACATTGCAGTAAGCCTTCCGAACCCACCTTCTGGCGAACTTCTGCGAAAAGAGCCGCGCGCTGGTTCCTGCAGTGCTTCTCTTTGAGTTTTGTGTCTTCTGAGGATTTGGGCGGCATAGCTTCGCTAGTACTGCCCAGAGCGCAAGAGGCTCTTGGCTGCAAATGGCAGCAGAAGGGTATGAATCGGGGTATGAATCGGGGTATGAATCGGGTATGAATCGGGGGTATGAATCGGGGGACAGATTTTTTTCGACCGGAAAAACACCAAGAGTGCCCCAGGAGCACAAAAACAGCTTGTGTTTCACTGCGACAGTGGCCCAGGACAGACAGCTGTTTCCACCGCGTCGAACAGACTGCAGGAAGCAAGCTCCAAGTTTCAAGCTCAGCAGCGGCACCCCCCGCCACAGCGCCCTGCAAGTCCCAGCGTCTTACGTCAAGCTGCACCCCCGCCACAGCACCACGGATGCTACAGACAACTCTAGTACCAGGACATCCGCAGGATTGCTCTATAACTCCATCCATTGGCACTTTCCATTGAAAATAGCAAGCCGAGACCGAGGTGGGTAACCGAGTGTCAAGGAACACCACTTAAGCCAAAATGGCCCCCTACGAGTAACCAGTGTGTGTGTGAGTGGACATGTCAACTGTACTTGGCCCCATGACATCAGCGCCCAACCATGCAAGCATCGCAGACTCAAGAATAGATCCAGGAACCACAAGTGAACCAGGTATTACCTCGGAGTCCCTACCCCCTGGCATCGGTCCACATGTCAAGCTCTCTACCACTGTTTCTTGACAAGACCCCCTTCTTCACTTGAAGTTAAACCCCCTATAGCTTCCAGCTATCCATGGATCACATGCAAATGCCATAGTTCTTGCAAGTTCCTTTGTTTTTTTTAAGGGGCATGACTCGGGGTATGGCTCGGGGGTATGGTTCGGGGTATGATTCGGGGGTATGGCTCGCCCAAGCCCCACCTCCCACGAAGACTAAAGAACTGACACGGTAAAAAAACACAGACCCATATATATATATATATATACACCCTTTCTTGTGGCTTCCTGTAAGACCATCCCTTCATTCCCACAACCCGAAGCAAGTCAAGGAGCCTTCCGCTCTTGAGTCGAGGATTGGATTATCCAAAATGAAATCTGGCAGGGTGGTTTCGTCTCAAGTCGCCCCAAAAGTGGCTGTTGCTGTACTGAACTCTTGGTCAAGGCACAAAACCTGAAGAAAGACAGCATCAGAATCTGCTGTCCGCGACTTCCGGCCTCTTTTTGCCTTAAGCAATTCCGCGTGCGCGGTGAGACAGGGCTTATGCAAGCCAGGCAGCTCGTCAGGAGTTGCCCAAACTGGAATGAGGAGTAAAATGAACTGTCCAAAGTCTGTCAAAAGTTTCCCATCCCTACCACCCCCCCCGCCCCCACAAAGTGTTTTGTGCCCGCGGCACTTCACGGGTGTGTGGCTTCTGCATCTAGAGCCGTTTGGGGGGGGGGGAAGGTCGTCATACTTGACTTGCATCTGGTAATCGCCCTGCGGTACCTCCCCCCCTCTCTTCAGGGATACGTTGCATTCTTTGAAACCCTAGGCCAAATGAATGTCGGCGAAAACCTTGGCACAGTACCCAGGAAATCAACTCGGATCAAGCCAGTGACGTCGGCGAACTGCTAGGGGGCATAGCCATAGCGCGCTCTCTTTCCTGAGGCTAGGTGCAAATATGCTGAACCGGCTACACCTTTGTCCGAAACTGCCTCCCACCGCCACGTGAAGCCTATAACAACACAATTGCCTTGGTGGGAAGCAAAGAAAGGATATCAGGGTTTCTCCACAGAGGTGCCAAAGAAAACAATTCCATGAAACATGAGACTCAGCCCAGGCTTCCCTTGTTGATGTTTGCCTCTTGATTGGATGTTCTAATTTTACTTGCATCCCAAGAGCAAAGCTGAGCTGAAACGCGGTGCTGTCTGGCGGGTTAGGGTGGCCCCAGGAGGGCTGCAGGACTAGGGGTACTCCCCGAGCGCTCGTGCTTGAGCAACCCCTCCAAGTTGGCGTCTCTTGGTTTCGCCCAAAAGGGGACCAATTTTAAGAAACCTTGCTGGTGCTGAGCAGGGAATGAGGGAATGACCCTTATAAACCATCCCTTGTGGTTTCCTTTAAGGCGACCAATTCCTGGGTTCATTCCCACATTCCCCCAGTTATCGCACCAGGAAACCTCCGGACCCACTCCTGGCGAGTGTGCAGGTCTTGAGGGCTTGAGGTCCCCAATGCCATCCGCCAAGCTCGCGTTCTCGTGACGGTCTCGACGGCACCTGGTTAAGATCTCTTGGCACGTCAACCAGGTTCTAACGGGTATTGGTGCAAGCTGGACCTGTCAATATTGGAACCCAAAACGTAGGGTCTGATCAATTCAAGGGCTGAGTCGGGGCGGTCTTCACGCCCGGGTTGGATCAAACACAATCCTGCAGCAGTGTCTATCCATCATAGCACCCCGAACTGGTCTGAACAACTGCTGACAACATGAATCGAGCGCAATGTGTTCAACAATTGGTGGAAATCCTGGTATACAACACGCACAAACGACATGGCAGGTTCTTCGCTGCTGCCTTGATGCAAGTTTCTTCTGTTGCTCATCAATCGCATACGTGCTGAGATCGTGTGCAGTTGGAACTCTGACTAAGCTCGCCCTCGCTTCCCCCTGTCCGGCGAGGAATTGCATGCAATCGCGCGCTCTGACCCGACGGACGTAGGCGCCTTTCAGAAGAGCTCGCAAAACTCGGCCTGGCCAGGTGCTTGGCAGCCCTCATGCCAGCTCGTTACCTTCGGGAACCAGAATAAGATGACATTGGACCGGCTGAATCTTCAAATCGAAGTAACATACGGAAAATAGCGACTAGCCGGTCGGGTTGCAGAAACCACCCCCCACCAAAAAAGCATCCGCTTGAGGCAATGCATGCATCATGCAACACAGAAAGATTTACCCAAGAGGCTTGGAATATTCACCTTTGCTGTTATGGCTATGGCTGTCGTGGAAGCACAAAGGTACCGTCCAAACGGGGGTTGTACACTTGGGTAATGGAGGGGCTAGCCCAACCTGTGCTCACTCGAGTTCGCAATCCAGAACTATGCGGGCCTTGCCCTAACCATTGTTCGTGTATGGCCCATTGATTGAAATCAGACATCCGGTTTCAGGCTGCTGTTCCTGCCAAAAAGTTGACTTCTTGGGTGAGAAGCTAGCTGAAAGCTCAGCAGGGTCCGATCCCGAGACCTGAGCAGTGTGGGCAAATCTAAGCTCAACAGAAGTGGGACGGGTGAGCTCACAGCGTATGCCGGCCGGCCCTGATGCGTGTACCTCAATGCAATGCTCCAACCTGCACAAGGGCTGCAGTTACTGACTACATGGGGTTTCCACTGCGGATCTTCACAACTCCAGCATCTCACATGACAGCATTGTTCTGGCGGGGGATGTTGAATTCTTCAACGAACAGGAACTTGCAGCTTGGTACCGGCTCCAGAGACTGCAGCAGAAAACTCAAGCAGCCGATGCGCATCATGCATATGCCTGTCCAAGGACCTGAAGATGTAGCTGGATTGCTTAAATCCCAACCTGTTGGCTGCAAAACCATCCATCATCTGGCGTCCAAAACAGGAGATCGCGGTCTGAAGACAAGCGGCGAAAGGGAGGTCAAGGACGAAACTGGTCACGCACGCGGAACGGCAAAACAAGGGCTGCATGTCATCCGGCCAGAAACACAGCGCATCGCCGGAAAAAATGGACCTCTGTAACCATCCATCCAAGAAGAGTATCTGAAGTAGGTGTCAAGCCCCAGTCCCCCGAAAAGCAGGGCCAGAGATATCATCCAGCAAATGCACGAAGCAAAGCCTGCCATATCTCGCTTCGTGAGCCTCACATCAGGAGTGTTGACTACTTGCGCCCGAGGTCTATTCACAACCTAACCCCTTCCTGCCCCTTAGGATCTCAGCACGCCTGTCATGGTAGGCGCTCGAAGTTCGGGGGATCGCGAAACCAACAACAATGCAAACCACAGAATCCAAAGCTGGGAATGCATGCAGGGGATACAAAGCCTCTCCTCCAAACACCGATGTATTAAAACAGATTGCACATTTCCGCGAAGCAAAACAGACATGACAAACTTGTTGAATCCAAAGCCCAGGGTTTCCAGCTGATGGAAAGGTCGCCGAGATCAATTCGTTTTCTCTTTGAGCCGGGGCGATGCTGTTGAGGTCTTCAGTTGAACTGGGGTCTCCAATCTCTAGGGTGGCGGTTCCCCCCGTCCGGTTGGGTTGTTCGGTTACTTGGTTTTCCCTCCAACCCACAAGTTAAGCTTTTTGCGGATCAGTTTGGACAGCGTCTGGGAAAAGCCAAAAGTGTCCTCGAGGTATGCCGCACTGGTCCCGCAAAAGGACCAGTCAGACCCACCCTCGCATGCTACACAGAATCCCCTTGAAAAGCAGCACAAAGCTCGTAAGCCCAAAATAACTCGGTTGCTTTCTGCTCCCCGGCTAAAAGTGAATAACTTTTAGTGGTTTAATGGAAACCCATTGGTTGGCAAAAAGTCAAAGTTTTAACATCCAAGTAACGTGCAAGGGCTCGTAAGCCCAAAAAAATGGCCCAGGCTTGGGCCCGTTAAAAGGGCCCTGACTCAACGGTCCGGCACCGGTCCGCCTTCGCCGGCTCCACTCGGGAGAGGCGCCGTGGCCGCCAGAAACGGGACCAATCCTACGCGAGGCGCCCGGAAGCAAAGAGAGGGCGCTCCTTTGGATAAGAACGTGGATTTGGCGATTGCTTTCTGCAAGCTGTGTAGTGTTGTTGACCCATAAACTATAGAGGATACGTGCACCCCTTGGATCAGCAATGTTACGGTAACGCAGCGTTTCATGATCCAGGCAAATCGAGCCCGCATGAGGGCACCCATCATTTGCCGACAAACAAGGGCAAACCGTGTGGGAACTCCATATGAATGCCCAATGACGTTCCGACCAGAAACTGAGAGAGACGCCCGAAAACAGATGCCTGTCAACCTGCAAAACGGATACCCTGGCAATATCGTTGCTTGATCTGTATTGAAGCTAACAACTTTTTGGTTCGACCCTTTTTCCGGGGGTTTTAAAGGTCCGAGACAATAGATGCTTGGGAAACTCGCATGATCTGGACAGCAACTTATCCCGAAAACAGGGACACATTGGGAGGAGGGTTGTCTAAACTGCCGTCATCCATTCTTATACACGCCTTGGGCGAGCAAGCACCGACAAGGAAGGTTGTTGTTCATGCTGAACCCCTGAAAAGGGTGCATGGAACCAGAGGACCATGCGCGGAAAGGAGGGCAGAGTGAGCTTGTCTCCAGATCGGGAGATGTGTCATGCTCAAATCCTGGTTGAAAGAAATCATCCACAAGGAAGAACCACAAGTTAAAGAAAGCGGCTCGCCGCATTGGCAAGAGAGGTCCCAACCCTGAGGTTCTCCGGGAAATGAGCGTCAAAAAAGCACTAGCCAAGTCCCCATGTGTGTTTTGACGTTTTGTTTACAGTATCCGCAAGAGATTATGGGGCTATGTATACCTTCATCCAGCTTTCTTGTCTTGGCACAGCTTTAGCCCCTTCACAGGCCCCAAAGTGGCAATCCGAATGGGATGGTTTTTGATGCCTACATTTGTGCTTGAACCCCTCGACTGCTCCTCGGTGTCCTGTGACTGAAACAAGCCCTCAAATCGTAGTGGTCATCCCCAGCTTGTGTCCGTGTGTGTCAACAGCCTCATACAAGTTGGCTTGCCGGAAGGAGGTATAGCAATTGAGGCCTGGCATATTGATCATCCTAATCGGCAAAGGGATGCACTTCATTGTCCAGTCTCAAACAAATGCAGCTAGACGCAAAAGCATGGCACAACAGAGTATATTCCAACAAGTGGAATGCAGCCCCTGAAAAATATCCCGGAGGCCTCGTGCAGCCAAACAAGCAGCAATTTGCCTAACTTGAGTGACCGGCTGAAAGGTAAAGCATGACACCATCACCCCCACACGCACAAGTGGAAGTAGCAACCACCTGTTTAGTGAAGAGAACACACGAGAACACAAATTTGGCAGAGACCTCATTCAAACAAACAGTATCTTTCAGAAGCCATCATCAAGTTCTGTGCTGGTAGGAAGGCCAAACAAATTTCCGCTGAGTGACACGCAGAATCAGACAAACATCGCACACAAGCTAATCCACAGCACAGCTCGTGTGCTGCAAAAGTTCATATCTGCATCTGATTGTCTAACTGCGTTGGGGGACAATGCCAAGCGCCACATCCTCCGTAACCGCACCAAGAGTTTCGTGCTGCCGTGTACTCGCACCCCTTCGAAGGTTTCCCTTGGTTTACATGGGGGAAAGGTATGCAGCCCGGCCCCCCTTCAAAGATTATTCCACGTGTCGACATTCAAGCTCGACACTCAAGCTCAACACTTCAAGTGACCGCACAATTGAACTTAGTCTTCATGCATTGGGGCAAAGGTCTGGGATAGATTGGAACAACACCACAGGTACCCACGAGGCATGGCTACAGCAACCAGGGTTTTTTGTTTGCCCATGGATACACGATGCCAAAAGCTAGGGCACTTTGCAGGTGTGGAACAATTATGTTGGGTGCCTCATTTTTAGGGGGACCCCCATTAATGGTGGCTTCCCTTTGGTTTCCTTGAAAAACCGTGCCAAAAAGGGTACCCCGAAAATAGACACACCCTTATCTTCAACTGTAGGATTGGAAGAATAATATCGACCTCGGAGTCATAGACTGCGGATTCATGCGGGGCAGAAGCCCACTATTGTTCGAATCCATCTGGGACCCGAGCTATTGATCCACCAGGGGTTTAGCGACATTATCCTCAACTGTTCACTGAGACCGGCTTCCAAAGAGGTCATTTTCTTACTGCTCGCCCCGGCTTTTCAATCGAACAACCTGTGGGTCAAAATAGGTACCCAAAATTGAACCCTGGTAAGTGGTAAGTTAGAAACATAAACTAAAACCTGCGGTCCCCTGGTGGTTTAATTTTGACCCATACCCCCCAAGACATGAGTCGCCCAGCCCGCCCAGCCCCAGCCCTCATCTCGCCTCCAGGTGCTGGACGATCCAGTGAGAAACGCTGGTTCTGGCAAGAGGCGCAAGAGGCGGTCGGGGCGGAAAGCCAAGCGTCTGTCTAATAATCGAAGAAATGCGCCCAAGAGCCCTTCACTTTTGGTTCCAAGATGGTTAGAAAGCTTCACATCGGCCTTACTATAAACATCTATAAACCATCTAAGCTCGGTTTTCGGCGCAGCTCAATTGATGCTCATTGGGATCCTTGTTTAACATCAAACCCAAGTGATCCATCAGATCTGGTGCCCCTCCCGTCCAGGGTGTCACGGCAGACATGTTGATGCATGTAACGTGTCCAATGAATTGGAGGGAAGCAGTAGATTGGGCCGTCGCCACAGAAGACACAAATATCAAAGAGGGTCCTTAAAGGACCCGCTTTGCCCCCTTTGCATACATTGATTAGGGAATCAGGATCATTTGGGCCCAATCGGTTCTTCGAATCAGTTCAAACCAACTTGGGTGTTTTGTTCGGAGGGAACCATCTAATCCTAGGTCCTCCAGTAGAGAGGCTACAATAAGGGCACCCTTTTGTCTGTAGTTTATTTTAGTAGGAGAACCCTCACCCAAAAAAAAGGGTACAAGGGCACTGGGGGACCTTTGATCGGTTTTCAAGGGAACCAAAGAGCAAATCGTTGCCATGTCCGGAGGTCCAAATTCAAAGATGCACCACGCAGTCTGCTTGAGCTGCTCTCAGTGATTGTTTTAAGGAGTCATGCAAGGAGCCCTGGAGCAAATGTGTAAACCAGCGTCCTTCGTTGATGCCTCATCCTGAGAGGTGGGGGGAACAAACTTGGTGACCACCAACTTGATTGAAACTTGAGATGGGGAAGTGGTATTCAGAAATGTTCGTGATGCGTATAGCGTGCTGGCAGTTTACACGAGCAAGATGGACCAGTCTTCCAACTACATTTCCGGGTGAGCCTTGCTTTGACGCTACTTTTTTGGACGGTTTCAAAGGGACACCAAAAGGAACACCCACACAAAAAAACATAATCCGAACAAAAACAAATCCGAACAAAAAAAGGAGCCCGCCTGCGCGCCCGTGGGGCTTTGACGCCCGGCGGCCGCGGCTTCCGCCGATCCCTGGCAGATCCATTACCCGAGGATTGTTGGCTTTGGTGAGACCAAGAAAAAACCTCTCCCACTGTGAGGTGCAGAGACAAATTCCTAGTTGGATGTTCAAACCAATATTATAACTAACATATATATTTTAATATAAGGACACGTTTCCCATTTGCTCATTTGCTACCATAGTGTTGACCTACTGACTAAGTGGTTTGTCTCTGGGGGATATTTTCAAGCCCCCCGCCATTTGGGTCTCACGTTGAGGCCCATAGTTTTGACAATGTCAGGAAGGACTTGTGGATGGTCTTGAACAGCAGGTCAAAGAAAAACTCTGGATGGCCTTTTCCTTAAGCACCACTATGCTAAACCATGAGGCCGCCTATTGAAGACATATGTGAACAATCAAAATTACCATGGCACATGGAGGTTTTCGGCCATGGCACAGTTCTCACCAAGTGCCCTCTTCAAAGGCCGCTTTTTCACAGCGAGTGCCGCTGGGTAACCCGGTTCGGAAAAAAACAACAACTCGGTACTGGTTCGGTGGGACGCCATGGTCAGGGAACGATAACAACTGGCATAGGGACTCAGGATTTTTTGTTTGAGCTATCCAGCTTTTACTGGGTGCAAATTGCTACTGGCCTGTCCTGGCTGTGCCACAGAAGCATGTGTGTGTGTGTGCGCGTGTCTCGCCACTCTTGCAACCATAAGTTTGACCTCCCGCCTATAAACTTTATGCGAGCTTGTCCAAAGATATGGGCACTGGGCCAGGACCCAAGTATCTTTGCGGTTTGGATGACAAGGCGCACAAACGATCACTCCACCGCCAGCTCAGCATGCAGTCATGCTGTGGCAGCTCAAGCTCAGGGCAGGCGCATGACATGGTGGGGACTTGCCACAAAGCATCAGGGTTTGCGTGTGGAAGTACGTACATGGCGAATATGATGCATACATTTGCGCACAGTAGCGCCTGTACTCGAACCAAAAGCTGTGCGAGGTCCAATTCAGCAACACACACACACACAGAGGCACACACACACATGGACTGAAGTAACTATGAAATGGCTCATATCGAGATCAATGTGTGGTTCCCGCAATGATTGACAGCGATTGCACGGCCAATCTTGTAGATCTCATGAATCTGATTGGCGTCAGACTCTTGCACTCCGCAAAAGCAATGCAACATGAACCATGGCCAAAACACCTTGTGTGGGGATGGTCGGAAGTCCTTGTCTAATGATTAAGCTGTCCACAAAGAGCTTAGCATGTGTTGGACATTTGAAGGCCATTCTCGCCAACACATAGTGTAGCACATGTCGCCCGGCCTCCACCAGCCAGTGTTTGGAGGCTCCGGAGCCATTTGAAGCCTTGGCAGGACAACCGCTTGCATGCCCCGCTCACCAATTTTGCGCGGGGTAGCCTGTGCTCATCTCAAACATACTTCAGGCGTGGTTGCGCCTAACAAATATGAGGGTCGTTACCAGAGCTAGCGGTGACGGGCCGGGCTGCATGAGCTTTGTGTTGGGACCAGCCCCAACGAACCTGTACTAGAGGATCTGACCAGCCTCGAAGAACCAGTAAATACTGGGGAGAAGTCTTCACAGACTCCGGGATGAAATGCTGTATTTCAGGCAGGTGTGCCCTGACTGAAGTCTGCAGTGGGACAAGTGTGAGCTTCTAAGCATTACAATTCAAGGCAGGGTATTGATCCCTTTACTGGGAAGTGGACACACCAAATGCAAAACCCAACATCGGCTACTCTCAGGTTTGCACCAAACACCCTCAAACAAAAGGACCCAACAGCATTTGTGTACCCTTGTGGTTTGGTGATTCTTTGGCGCTTCATGCAACCCTGCCTCTGCAAGATGATATCACGGAACATGGCGATCCAAGCGCAATAAAGCACTCATGTCAATCATGAAGTTTCTGGATGACTGTTCAGCTTAAGCTGTTTCATCAAAAAAATAGAAAGGGCACCAACTAATCAGTCCGTGCAACCAGCCAGCCACATGAGCATTGCGCACGTTCGAGTGGGCGGCAACAATGCCCGCAAGCCCCTCCCCCCGACAAAAGCAGCTCGTCATGGGTGAAGTTTTTCATGGAGCAAAGAAACTGATCCCAAACAAACCCTTCAGGGCTTGAGTTGCTACTTCAGCAATACTTTCTGTGGATGCCCGAAATCCTGCACCGCCTCGGAAACCCTGGAATGATGATTCCTGCAAATACCAACAATCGTTATGGCACGTTATGGTTTCAAACGTGGTGCGTTTCGTGGTGCGAACTGGATTTGGCAACCATCCACAGTACCATCTGAATTCCTGACGATCGGGGCGTGAGCTGTCCCAATCTTGGACAATGTTTTTCTAGTGGCGTTGAATGTCTTGGGGCCTCTTGGATGCTCCATAGCAAGTCGGTTACCAGAATTCTAGCTTCGGTAACAGAGGTTAGCTTCCTTGTATCGCTGAATCCGGTAACAGAGACCCTTAATGGTTGTCTGAAACCCGAAGGTATTCACTGCATTTAATGAGCAGCCCTGCCCTACCTACCCCCAAAAATGGAAAAGCGGATGAGCAGCAGGAATCCCCGGCCCAGGCGGGAGATATGGAAAGTTCGGCTAGAACACCCCCGATGTTTGCTTCCGTATTCCTGGAAATCGGGTCTTGTCACTAAAACTAGGTCCTCCAGTAGAGAGGTTAGAAAAAGGGTACCCTTTTTCTGTAGTCTATTTTAGTAGGGGAACCCTCCCAATCAAAAAAAGAAACGGTAAAAGGGCACTGCTGGGGGACCTAGAAAAGCTGCGCCACAAATTGCCATGAGCCCCGGGCTTTTGACGCAACTCCTCGAAGCACTCCGCCAAGGACAAATCCTCCTCCGCCACTTGCACATCTGGGACAGGCGGAAGCCACGAGGCCAACATGTCGCGCGAGTCGTGAGTTTCAAGTCGAAGAGAAAGGCGGGGCCCTTGACAAGCACCCTGGAGTGTAGTTGGCTGAAAGCAGGAGGTACCATTTCTGGAAATGTGCTTCCTTCGGGTAAACGGAGATCTTAATGGAACAACGTCTCAAATAGACTTGCTCGGCAGCCTTCTCCATTCGATCCGTGCATCCGTGCATCCATCCGTCCGTGCATGCGTCCGTCCATCCGTCCATCCATCCGTCCATCCGTCCATCCATCCGTCCTTCAACCCGGGGGTGAATCTTGCTCAGACAATGTTTCTGCCAAATCATTTAGTGCTAGCCTTGTCGTGGGACCGTGCCAGGAACGTGCGATAGTGATCTGAAACAGCAATGGGCGTTACGGTGGGTGTCAGATGTACTGACCCGAGCAAATGAGACATACAAAAAGAAAAGGCAGAGATGTTATCTCAGTGGCAATACGGCTGGTCAAAACAAAGCCACATCTACCAGCAGGAAATGAATCTCTGCACGGGGATTCGTCTCAAAAGCCACATCAACAATATGGTCTCTTCCCCGGAAGCCTGGTTCCTCCATTAAGTGAAAAGCGATGGTCCAACTGGTCACGTGCGAGCCTGAAGTCGACCATGAGCAAAGCATGATCTTCGAGCTGTGCATTTTGGAGGGCAGCGAATGTGAGTTTTGGTAGTCGCCCCCTCCGGAGGCCTGGGTAGTGGAAAGACACATGGTTCCAATGGAAGCAATCCAGAGGAATCCAATAATCTGCCTTTGGCCTCCGACTCAAAAAACAGCACATCCGCTTGCCTGAGCAAGTGGACTGCCTGGAAGGCATGCCTCCGTCAATTGGAAGGAGGCACATCTTTCCGAAAGACAAGCAAGGGAAAAGAAAGAGCTTAATTCGCCTTTGGGCCCCGAGAAACTCCAAACGCACCCCTGAAACCCCGAACATCTTGCGGCACCAAATCCTGAACACCTGGAAACCAAAGAAAAACGGCAACGCCAACTCTTCTCCTGACCCCTGCGGTCCCAAAGCCGTCAATCGAATCGAGCGCCCGGCGATGCGCCCGAGCCGACCCCGCTTCCGGGCCTCGCCGGCTCGCTTGGAAAGATCCTACGGGGCCCGAAGAGGGGTCCCCAAAACCCGGTGAACCCCTATTACACCCTAGTCGCAATTGGCTCCGGATTTTGCCCCAATTGACCCGAAAGGGTCGAGCTGATGCTCGAAGTGCCACTGTACCACTGAAGGCCGCTCCAATTACAGGGGAGATCCTCTGGTAAAACACGAATACGGACAAATCCCGTATCACGGAAGATTGACCAACAACAATTGTTCTGGCATCAGAAAGGAACAAGCATTCCAACAAGTCCCCTTGAGTCTCAGTGGGATAACACAAAAAATCCCCTCATTTCCCATTTCAAGCCAAACCGCTGTTTGCCAACCTCCCTTGAGACTTCTCTCTCAGAAACGGGCCGGGTGCGATGCTGGCCCAAGGCAAGGCATCGCTGCCTGCCAGGCTCGCAAAATGCGATGCGTTGGCGGAATTTGTTGCCAAGAGAAAAAACCCGATTCACATTTTTATCCAAATGGATGTTGCCAGAAAATGTGACAAGGTGACGAATTCTTACACGACATCTCAGGAACCGGCAGGTCTTGCAGGGTGGTCCCTTTTGACCCCTTTTGTTGAACCAGTTTGGCATATCTGCAAGAGGATACCAGCGCTGTTTGGTCCACGCATGCTTCCGATAAAGTAGTCTGAAAGGACTACTCCTGTATTCTTTTGGATGGCTTTCAAGTGTCACCCGCGAACGCCGTGGAGTGGCTTCGGCAAACAAGAGCGGAGGGCCTAACAGGTGCTGTAGGCCTGAAAGGACACCCTTGAAGGGGGGTGAGACTGAGATACAGATGTCGAAGCTAAGCATCTTACATCACAAGAAATTAGAGCTGCAAGGAATCCTCAATCGGACCTTATCAAAAACAAGAGCTGGAAATATGAGGCACGGGTTAGATTGTTTTTTCCCTACGGCAGGATGTTTTGATGGTTGAAACTTAGAACTCGTGCCCCCAATGGACTATAGACAAATCTGGACATTGTAACGCAACCTCATATATAGCAACAAACAAGACGCCTAAACATCTCCCCTCGACAAGAAGCAATATTAGTGCTTCTCATTTGCCAAAATGGTAAGGGTTTCATTTTCGCTTCCCTGATAAATACCAACCAACTCGTTGGTGTCATTGCGGCTTCCCCGCAATACACTTTTTTGGTGGATTTAGGGGGAAACTCAAAGAACAGCCGAAGACGTTATACGATGTATTTATACACTCTCATTTTTTGTGGGGGGGGAAACAAAACACACCATAATTTTGGTGTTAACCCCTTAAAACCAAAAAAACACCCCAGGCCCCCCACCACCCTTCATTGGCCTCCAAGTTCTGCCAACCCCCCCCCCCCCCTGCGGGATTTTCTCCGCGGTCCGCCTGTGCCGGAGCCCAAGGGCGCTGAAGTCTCTGAGGCGAAGATGGAGATGGGGGCGGAGCCCAGCCCCGTGGAGACCAAGTCGTCGCCTTCCGATCCGACGGCAAGGATTTGCGCGAGAAGTCGTTGTTGTTTTTTCGTTCCTTTGTTTTTTTCCCGGGGCCCGGGGGGTGAAAACCAGAAGAAAAGAGAAGAAGACTCACTCTGCTGGAAACCACTTGTGGGTTCGTATATTGTAATATATATATATATGATATGTGTATATGTATGTATATCACTCTGCTTGAACCCCCTCTTTGCGTTCGCTTCCCAACGGATTCCCTTTGCAGAGACCCCAAGAACAAATATCAGCCCTTCAGAGTGGGTGAAGCCCGGCAAAGGAGGATGTGGTAGCCAGCCGGGAAACATCACCCGTGGGGATCAAGCAATCTGGTCATGGTGTTGGTGAGGGCGGAAGTCAAAGATTGGATGCTTCGGTGCGTACCTAGCAGATCCACCCTCAAGAAGTGGAGAGTACTGAGCGATGAAACCTTGGGGTGAACGATTTATGCCTCCCCAGTGCAAGGGTCAGACTCCAGGTAGCAATCCGCGAGCCAAGTTCCAAGCGACCAAACAGCTAAGGAAGCCAAGTATCACTAGGTCCTCCAGTAGGGAGGTTAGAATTAAGGGTACCAACTTTTTTCTGTGGTCTATTTTAGAAGGGGAACCCTCCCCCAAAAAGGGTAAAAGGGCACTGCTGGGGGACCTAGATCAAGTCAGGGGGAAAAACAAAAAAATCAACCTAGGGACACACTTGCTCTATTGCATGTGAAAGAGCACCAGAACCCAGGAGAAAGCGAAGATAGGAGTCAGTGAAGCAAGCAATCCCCTGACTCCGGTTGTTTTGTTTGTCCCTGGATGCTGGGCGCTGCACCCATTGAGACATCTTAGTTGAAAGCCTGAGTTCACCGCCAACAGCTGAAATGCTCAGCTCACTCCCCAAGTCTGCAAAAGCAATAAATGTTGGGCCTCTGCAGGGGACAGTATCCTTAGTGCCCAAAGTGGTAGCAGCCATCCGCCACACATAGATTGTCCGGATGGGGTCCATTTTTGCCAGACCTCTTCTTGATTGTTCAAAGAGGCACAACACTGGTGAGCAGGGGTCGTCATATGGGCGTGTCGTTTTTTTGGGGACCCCAAAGGATTGGACGGATTTCCTGTTGGGTCCCTTTCGCACCACACAAAAAAGGTGCACCCTAAAAGAAACAGACCCATAGGCCCATATTCCACCCCATGACTGATCCACACCCAAAACGGCAGAACAACGAGCGAGCGCTGCCGAACTCTGAAGACAAGGCGCTAAGAAGGGGTGCACTCTGAAAGAACGGCGCTGTGATAGAAGCAACCGCCTCCTGCAGCAAAAACGGGCATTCAACCATGCTGAAACCTTGCTGAATCACGTCTAAACCACTCTGTCGTGTGAACATCCGAGGCTGTACAGAACCTTCATTGTTTCATTGCACGTTCGGGCGATCGCTTTGATGCACTCATTGTTTTAGCGCTCCCTTCGATGAGCTCCACAGACTGCTTAAAGAACGTCTGCTCCGCGCGCGACACCGCTGCCGCCACGCAGTATCTCTTTGGAACCGACTCTTTCTCAACATGTGAGCTCACATTATTTGCACAACAATCAGACAGGGACCACCCAAAGACTATCCACCGTTCATGCACATAAAGCATGGTACAAGCAAACAACCCACGCAGTTCTATATATACTGGGTTCCCAAACACGACTCGCCATGATATTCACATTGGCTCTCTGCATTCCAGAGCCCGAATGACTGTAAAATAGAAAAGAAACAACGTTCTTGCTTTTGGCGCTCAGCTGTTCCAACTGCAGGAGTTCTCAAAAGTGCGGTCTAACACGTTTGGTCTCCTTTTAGTTTCCCTTTAGCTGCAAAACGGGGGGTCACCGCGTCGAGAAACCACACATGGCGGATTTAGAGCGAACTCCCCAAGCAAAGGGGCTCCAACCCACTACTGATTATTGTTCAGATGCCTGGCCGTACTCCATAAAAGCGAACCCATGCGCAGAACGCGTGGAACGGGATTGTAGATCTGCCTAGGTCCTCCAGTAGAGAGGTTACAATAAGGGTACCCTTTTTTCTGTAGTCTATTTTAGTAGGGGAACCCTCCCAACCAAAAAGGGGCAAAAGGGAACTATGGGGGACCTAGCTGCTGTACGGAACGCACATCGCGCCCGCTCTGTGATAAAAGTCTCTGCAGCGTCCTCCTCCGGATCTGCCAACGACCAAAAGGCATAGTGCCGAACCGCCTGAACGCAATGCAACCAGACCTCCGGCAGCCATGGGAAAAACACGCATGGGAAAAACGGCACCTCCCCAAACCCACTTACGGAGCCTGATGACAAAACTCGGCAGCCGTTTCGGGCTGGGTGAAATTAACCAGAGTTGTGCTGCTCATTGGTATCCGCTGACCGAGTCCCGAGTCTGAGCCGACTGCCGGGTCAATGGGGGAGGGAATTCGGAAAGGAAATGGAAGCCTACATTTGCCAATTGAAGTCTTAATGAAAGCCCTCACGTGGCAAACGTTCATCAGCCGTGTGTCAAGCAATGTCATCACAAGGCCACCGGTGCATGTTGAGCCGGAGCACAAACGATGGTGTTTGCTGGTGTGTGTGTGTGTTGTTTATTTGTGTGTTTGCTTGCTTTCCTGCCTACTTGCTTGCTTGTTCCCCTTGTGGGAATTGATGGCGCAAGTCCAAAAAGAGACCAAAAGGAACCCAAATTTGGCAAGGCCAGCGCCACGCCAACGTCAGCGCGTTGTTTTGAGAACACTTCTTCAGGTCAGTCTCATTTAAGTCCATGGCGAGGATACGATGCAAACACAAACCCCCTGGTGTTGCCCGACTCTGCGAACATGATATGAAAGTACATGCTGACACGCTTCTCGTGTTTGTGGCTTCCCGCTGAAGTGGATGCCAGTCCTGAGACCATGTCTTGACTGTATGTTGCTCGCCAGAAGAGGCTGCGCGCTGTGCGTGACGTGTGGGCTGCGCTCCTTGCTTGGCGCGTGGCAATGTTTGCCTCAAAGAGGCATCCCTCTGCTTCTCGCATATGCGAGCCGCCTAGTCTATTCAACAGCTCACCTGGTACCTGGAGCAAATTATGAAGCTACACGGCTTCGCGCGGAAAACCCTTTCACACCCCTCTCCTCTGCGCCTACAACGGATTTACGACGCAGCGTCGGGCTTCTTTGTTTTCCGTTGGTCTGCCCAGCTCACGCGGGCGACACCTTTATGCTTGTATATCTGCAATATGGTTTGGCGCATACGCTGACGCGTGTGCTTCAAACAGCCCTAACTTTCAGTCAGTGGCATCTCCTTCAGACACGTACAACCGCGTGTTAAGTCACGCGGACAGAGACCTGTGCAACGCGAACGTCACGTACCAGTCGGAGGTTCGTTCAACACAGCACAACATCTCTTGCTGGAGCTGCACGAAGGAAAACCAAACTCTCTCAAGAGAACTCGAGTTGTTTCGGGGACTCCCATGTGCTATTCCTCCGGCATATAGGGTCTGACATGAGAGGACAGGTGCCAACCCCTTCGTGTTTCCGTTTAGACTACATTGAAAACACGGTCACCATTTCTCTGCCCAAAGAAGAACGGAAACAAGTTCACCTCTTGCTCTAAACAAGGGCTTACAGAAGGCCGGCCTCCAGGATGAAAGAGTCGGTTCTTTTTGGGACTGCTTGGCCTCTGTTGGATGAACCCACAGCCCGTGGCCGCGCTGGATTTGGGGCGTTTGCTCGGTCTCTCCTCGGTAGTTTTGACTTGCGTATGCAGTGACCAAGCCAAAAGTGTTGTACACTTCCGCCGGGGAAAAGTCAACTGCTCACCTAAATAGGGGAGAAACAAATCACCTGGTTTTAAGGCAATGCAAGCCTACATTTGCTTGATAGAAAGCCTTCACGTGACAAACATTCATCAATCCGTGGAATCATGAATCAGCATGTTTGCGTTGAAATGGGTGCTTGTTGAACCGAAAGACAAATGATGGCGTTTGTTTCTTTGTGCGCTTGCTTGCTTGCTTGCTTGGATTTGCTTGGCTTTGCTTGGCTTTGCTTGGCTTTGCTTGGCTTTGCTTGGCTTTGCTTGCTTTGCTTGCTTTGCTTGCTTTGCTTGCTTTGCTTGCTTTGCTTGCTTTGCTTGCTTTGCTTGCTTTGCTTGCTTGCTTGCTTGGCTTTGCTTGGCTTTGCTTGGCTTGGCTTGGCTTGGCTTGGCTTGGCTTGCTTTGCTTGCTTTGCTTGCTTTGCTTGCTTTGCTTGCTTTGCTTGCTTGCTTGCTTGGCTTGCTTGGCTTGGCTTGGCTTGGCTTGGCTTGGCTTGGCTTGGCTTGGCTTGGCTTGGCTTGGCTTGGCTTGGCTTGCTTGCTTGCGCTTGCTTGTGCTTGCTTGTGCTTGCTTGTGCTTGCTTGTGCTTGCTTGTGCTTGCTTGTGCTTGCTCTTGCTTGCTCTTGCTTGCTCTTGCTTGCTCTTGCTTGCTTGTGCTTGCTTGCTGCTTGCTTGCTGCTTGCTTGCTTGCTTGTTGCTTGCTTGTGCTTGCTTGTGCTTGCTTGCTGCTTGCTCGTGCTTGCTCTTGCTTGCTCTTGCTTGCTCTTGCTTGCTCTTGCTTGCTCTTGCTTGCTTGCTTGCTTGCTTGCTTGCTTGCTTGCTTGCTTGCTTGCTTGCTTGCTTGCTTGCTTGCTTGCTTGCTTTGCTTGCTTGCTTGCTCTTGCTTGCTCTTGCTTGCTCTTGCTTGCTCTTGCTTGCTCTTGCTTGCTTGCTTGCTCTTGCTTGCTCTTGCTTGCTCTTGCTTGCTCTTGCTTGCTCTTGCTTGCTCTTGCTTGCTCTTGCTTGCTCTTGCTTGCTCTTGCTTGCTTGCTTGCTTGCTTGCTTGCTTGCTTGCTTGCTTGCTTGCTTGCTTGCTTGCTTGCTTGCTTGCTTGCTTGCTTGCTTGCTTGCTTGCTTGCTTGCTTGCTTGCTTGCTTGCTTGCTTGCTTGCTTGCTTGCTTGCTTGCTTGCTTGCTTGCTTGCTTGCTTGCTTGCTTGCTTGCTTGCTTGCTTGCTTGCTTGCTTGCTTGCTTGCTTGCTTGCTTGCTTGCTTGCTTGCTTGCTTGCTTGCTTGCTTGCTTGCTTGCTTGCTTGCTTGCTCTCTTGATTGCTTGCTTGCCTGCCCGCCTGCCTGCCTGCTTGTCTGCGAGCTTGCTTGCTTGTGTGTGTGTGTGTGTCTCAAAGCCAAAAACCGTTTCCGGGAATTGACGGACAGTTTCAACAAGAAACCAAAGGGAACCCGATCTTTGGACAAGGTCAGGCTATGCCAACGCCGGTGTACTGAGAACGCTTCTTCAGCTTGCCTCGCCGATTTTATTCAAGTCCAAGGCAAGGATATAATGCAAACACAAACCCCCACTCAAGCTCCCCTTTTGTTACCCGGTTCTGCGAAGTGCTTGACATGACCTAAAGGTAAATGTAGCACATGTCTGTGGCTTCCCGCTGGTCCTGAGACCAGGTGCTAACTGCTTGTTGCTTGCTATAACAAAACATATTACGGGTGTGTCATCACATTCTAGGATTTCCCCATTCGGTTCAATCACTTTTCCAGAAGCCCTTCCCCTGGGCGTTTGGAGTCTGGAAAGAAGGATCCTGGCTTGAAAGATTGCGGAAGTGACCTCTAGGAGACCCCGTGCTTGGAACAAAAGCACCAAACCACACAGGATCAAACTGAAGGCAAAACCTCCCGCTCAAATCGATCTCGAGCCTGAAGTGACACCACACTGGGCAGTGCCTCACCCCAGGATTGCTGGAGTTGGTTTCCGTTTTCCTTCAACAAGAGCCAATAATCACAAAATGGATGCGACCAGCCGTTTTCTTTGACCTGGCTGTTGCGTGGACTGGCTCATTCCTCTCAGTTCTGCAAAGGCCAGCGATCTGGTTTTTACCATCGACCTGGCCCTGGACAAATCACTTGGCGCACCTCTCTGGACGAGAGCCGCTTCCACTCGGGGCAGATCCTTGGACGCATGTTCTTCGAAGGGTTGCGAGTTGCTGTCGCAACCGCCATGGCCCTGGTTTTGCTTACACCATGACAGACGTTTGGGCCAGGCGTGCTTTGCCAAGCACACAACTCCAATTTCCACAATGCACAATGCAATCAACGTCGCACTAGCAGCTCTTTGGCATGGCCCGGGGTGTTGCAGAGTGTGACCTTGCGTGATAACGGAGCAAACCTCATCTTCCCGCCGTGGACATCACAAGCTCCATCTTTTGGGGCCTTGACTAAAACTGAACCAGGAAAAACCCAAAGTTGACAAACCAAGAGCCCAAACAGTGCAGCCCCCAGGGCAAGAACTTGTTGGCGAGGCAGCCAATGCTTCGATGATCAACCAACTACAAATTTGGTGAAAGTCGATGGCATGATTCCCTCATGATTCTAGGGGTACCTTGCCCATGCTTTCCAGGCATCCGTCTTTCTACAAAACCACCTAAAACCCTGGGGAAACAGCTGGTTATTGAAAAGAACGATGGCACCATTCCATGATTAGAGTTAGGCCCAGTTGTAGAATGCTTTTATTGTTTTCTTCACATGCAGTCACTGGTAAAATGTAAAATGTGTCCTAAGTCTACCCCAGATTCCCTCATGATGGTTTAGTCATCCCCTGTACTTCTCGCCGTTGGGGGATCTGCGCCATCTACTTTCACCCCTTCTGTGGAACCACAATACGGGTGTGTTTGCGGTGGGCGGCCTTGCTCTGGGGCTGATCATGTTCAGGGGGGAAGCCACCAAGCAAAAACCGGAAAACGGGTGTGACTGAACAACTGGGTTTATGACTCCCTTACAACCTATACCCTCTTTCCAACAGTTATGTAAGTGGACAAAGCCCGTTTCGACGTTTCGAATATGCTAGTCTTCCAACACCCTGCCAAGAGGGTTCATACGCAGGTGGATTGCCCAAACCTCCCTGTGGCGTTGTGCTCTGAAAACACCACGGAGAAAAAAGAAAAAAAAACTATTTCGGAGGTTCCCCTAGTTTGAGATCCAAACAGGGCCGAAACCAAAACAAACATCCGATCCCGTGATCTCTCCAAGGCACATGCGCTCTAGCAGGTCCTCCATGGAAAGCTAAGCTTGCTCACATCCAAATTGAGAGGTGCCGTTGTGGACGGACATTATCATGCACCAAATGGTAGGTGGTTTATCCATCTAGGGCTTCCCTCATGCCGACTGGACAAGGGTATTATCCATCCACAGTAGTTTGGCTGATCCCCTCAGTGTGTCAATTTGGAAAAGGTCCTATAGGGTTGTAGTGGATGGGGTTGTAGGCGAGTTGCAAAAAAACAAAGCCCTGCCCTCCAATCAGCCCTGCCCTCCAATCAGCCCTGCCCACTTATGTGCGTGTGTGCCCCTGGGGCTGCGCTAAGACCAGAGCTTCAAAAGCGCAGGCATTTTGCCGCACACACCGTGGGCCCATTTGTCGAAGAGCCCGGAGCATGGATGACGGGTTTCATGTGAGAGCAGGCAGTTGCGCTTACCGACGGCGTCCGTAAGCACAGCCAAGCCGTCGGGAGCACATACTCAGCCCCTGGCGCGCTGTCTATTCTGTGGTTGCGCTTACCGACGCCGCCGGTAAGCACAACTGAGCGTTTGAGCCAGGTCGCCTTGCTGGACATCATTCACAAGGGGGCTAAGGGGGCTGATATGCGCAAGCCCCTGCTGGGTTGTTACCACATTTAAACAAATCATGGCCAAATGCTCTTGCTTCGCGCACTCTTGCTTGAGTCTGTGAGCTGGGGGGGCCTGATTGGAAGCCCTTGTGTGGAGAAAAACCGATGCAACTGCAACCCCATCTGCTACAACCCTATAGGCACTCTTCCGATCAATCTTTAAGTCAGTTGTTTGTTTGCTCCGCCAAATACACGTGACATCCGCCCTCCACCCGCCCACGCCAAGTACAACATGCTACGCGGGGAACGACTTCATGAAAGAGCGGTAGCTAGACCCGCCTCACCAACAACTAAATGGAAGTCTCACCGTTGCCTTGTTCCAGAAATAGCCCGTTGATGGATCTAGTTGAAAGGCTCAGAAATATTCTCGGTATTCATTCAGAACCATCACAATCGGGAACGGATTTACCCATACAAGAACCGATGCTGCACAGGCTTCATGTGCGTCAAACTCAATGATCAAGTTGGATACACAGACAAATCTGGGGTGCAAAACTCTCGATGACTCAAGTCGGGCGGCGCATCTAGTACCGTGATCGCAACCTTCAAAGCAGTTGGTGAGATGGTGCGTCTAATGGCTCACATCCTTCGATCGGAGCGGCCCACCAGATTGGGGTAGTTCATCCGGCTACATTCGATGCCTCAAACATGGGGAAAGTCGAGAGCTCGCAAAGTGGACACAGCCACGATGTTCCATGGATTGGGCGTGGCGTTCTGCGAGAATTAGGACATCAACAGCAAACTTTGAGGAATTCACTGGGAAAAGACCCTCGTTGTCCTCATGTGCTTCAGCCCTGTGGAAAAAAGACAAGTTCAATAGTCATACAGTTCAATAGTCATACAAGTTCAATAGTAGATTTTCTTTAAAACCAACAGGGAAAAATACAAAATGTATTTAGTTCAGCAAATGGAAGTTGTGGTTTTCCGTAGTGCATCGGCTTCTGACCCCAAAGGTTGTTCCTTTGTGCGTCTTGTTTGGGAGTTGTGTTTTGTGTGAAGGCGATCGAAACGAAACCCACAAATACGTGCATACCTACTGGAATTTGGCCAACCCCCCCTCATTTTTTTTTAAAGAAACCAACAAGAACTTTCTGTAGATCGTCCTGTAGCTGATTCTTTGAAAGACCAGAATGGAACCGGACAAATGGTCGTTCATACCTGTCCGCTGGCAATGTTGGCACGAGAAAACTGGCACCTCTGCTTTTAACCCGAAGAAAACAACATGTTTGCTTGTTGCTCATGTTTAGTGACAAAAAGTCATCTTCGAACATACTTTTGAGGGTAGTTCAACATGTGAAAACTGATTTGAATCCCTAACATCCAACCAGAAGGGGGAGGGTCTTCACACCTGGGTCTGACTTTTGATCTGTTCCGGACCCTTTGAACATCATTTAGCATGTTGAAGTTCATGGCCACCAACTCCCTGGTTTCTGATGCCACCACTGGTTTCAACCATGGTACCGGCTTCAACCCTTGTGCTTTCCAAGTGCGGAAACCGATTCATTTCGTGGCCCCAGGCGGATTGCTCCCTGAAAACCTAGGTCTCCAGATTTGAGAGGTTAGAATAAGTTGGTACCCGTTTTTTTCTTGTTTTTTGGCTGTAGTCTATTTTAGCTGGGGGGAACCTTCCCAACCAAAAACAACAAGTTGGCTCAAGAGGACACCAATTGCTGGGGCACCAATTGCTCCAAAAACCGCAAGACCCGCAACCGCTGCCCGCGTCGTCCTGGCAGCACACCGGCAGCTCCCGCAGCGGGGACTTCTCGAAGCTCAGCTCCGCGGAGTGCCGCCACCAGCTGACGGTCCGCCGGGGCCGTCCGGTCGTGGGGCGGGAGCGACGGAGTCAGAGTTGGGCCCAGCGAAATGAAAATCACGTGGAGTAGAACTGGGATATTCAATGAAATTCACCAGAATGTTGTGAACTAGAGTGAATGTATATTTTATTGATTGCTTCACATGGAGTCACTGGTAAAATGTAAATGTATCCTAAGTCTACCCCAGTTGGGGTTTCGTGCGAAGAATGGGACGTCAACAAAAGGATCCAAGGATCCGCCCCAATGCAACACACCCCTGGTGCATAAAGCATGTTGCCAGCTTTGTTGTTTTAAATTACAACACAGCTTGTGTTTACACCCGTCCAAACTTGTTGTTCCTTCTAAACACGAACATACCGATCGACTCTTTTCGGTATCACGTGTTTGGTACTACATGTGGTGCTCGATGCACCTGCAAGCCAGGACATCACGAAGGGTGGTCCATTGTTGCGGTTGGACCTTCAGGAGATTCAGGAGGAACCACTGTGTTCGCCGCACTGGGTACACGTGTCTTTGACTGTCCCAAGATGATGTTCATAAGTATTTATTGCTGTCTGCGCAAACAATATAGTTGGCGCTTGCTGGGACGGCAAGCATCCAGCCTACTAAAATAACAATGGCAGAAACTGAGCAATCTGCATTTGAGTTGCAGTCAAAACCTGGTAGCAAAATGATCCACCAAAACCAATGCAAAAAACTACAAAGGCGGCCACACCTGCATAACTCTTTTGGGGACTGTCCGTGACTAACCATCAGTTGCCCGGGTTTTGATTATCGCTTATTTGGTCATACGAATAGAAGGCCGGGGAAGGGTAATCTCCGAGTGTTTTGTTGGCTCCTTGGTGGCAAACCGGCCATCCCCTCCTTTTTCTCTTGGCAAGTTGCCTGGTCAAAGCTAAGCAGGACGACACCAATTGAGCAGTGCCACAAACCTGCTAACGTTTGGTGCTAC